TAGATAGAAGAAGGATTTGATAAGGAAGTTACTTAAAATCTATAAATCATCAATGTGTAGTAATTTTAATGAATAAGTGATTCATTTCCTTTAAATAACTCTTACTCCATAGATGATAAAACTAAAATAGTATTATTTTAAAGTAATACAGAGCTTTACTTGTTAGTTGTTGTGCTCAATATAATTGAATCCTACTCTAATTTTGAAAATAGAGACATGTGCCTGGATGAATAAGGATTACAAATAAAAATTTTCTTGTTTTCAAGAGTGACCTAAAAAAATAAATTATCAGACATAAAATTGAATAGATATTTGTATTCAATGCTTAATAATTCTTTTTCAAAATAAGGACTAAGAATGTTATTTAAATTCTAAACCTAAAAAAAATAGAAATTTTGATTCTTGCATTAATAAGAAAGTATCATTTTTTGATTAACTGTATTTAGAAATGATATTTAAAATTAACATCTAATTATTGATTTAGTTATAATATAAATATTTGCATTTATTGCAAAGATAACAACATTGTTTACATTATTGATGAATAAGATTGCAGATTAATATTGTACTTTTGATGCTATTTAAATTGATAAAAAGGGATATTTTTATTAAAAATATTTCATGAAAAAGAAATTTATTTATTACAATTTAATTATTCATAGTATATGACATGATTTATACTTCTTTATGCTCTATCAGACAAATAATATTTTCATAATTAGATACTGAGTTAATTTTTATTCAAGATTTATTGTTTAATTGGATATTGATTTGTTAAGATTTAATTAGAATAACTAGATAACTAATAGTAGATGGTATTCAATCATAATGCAAATTCAATTTATTAAGGATAGAAATCATACATTTTTAAAAGAGTTATATTTGTAAATAGGCTAAATTATGAATCATTTTAAGTAGATTAGTATAAAAGTAGTTTTTATAAGCTATTATATAAAACTTAAATTATATTTTCAATACATAAACATTATCGTCATCTTAATTTAAAATTTAAATATTTATATTAATCTTTGGTATTATAGGTAAAATATTAACATCAGCATATATAATTTCTATAAGAATGTGTATATTTAAGGCTAATACTAAATTAAACTTATTTCTAAACATGGAGATTTTAATTGGAATTTTTTAATTATCCTATCGAATATAATTATATAAGAAAAATAACATATTTAATTCTAATTCATTTTAGTATTAAAATATCATAAACTTTAATTTTGAATTTTTTATATCAAATAATAGTCTTTTCTAAAGGTAGGATATATGAATATATTATTTGCCATTTGAATTAAGAAAAAATAATCATTGAATATAATTTAAAGTGGCAATCCTTATTATATCTTGATTTTAGTAAATTCATTTGGTTCTAAATTGAATCTAAGCATCCATCATATTTGAGAAAAAAGATGCGTTGTTCTTAATAAAATAAAAGTATAATTTAATCACATTAAGAATTTATTATGCCATTATAATTCACAGAAAAACTTATAACTTTCCAATCATCAAGTAAAAATTTGAAGAATTAGCAGTAATTTCAAAAGTATATTAATCAGAAATTTTTAATTATTAGAGGAGATTTAATGAAAGCACATAAATAAAATTAATATATGTTGATGAAACATCAAAATCAATAAAGTAATTGATCCAAGATGTTATATTTACAAATTTTAATGAAAACAAAGTAAGAACTGAGTAATTTTTGCATAAACTGTGAATTAATTAGATCCATTTATAATTTATTGAATTATTTTTTTATGGCAGTTAAGATTATGTTTGATAATGTGTCTTTTAGTTGCCATGTTAATAGTATTGATTTAATATAAAACAAAGAGTTAAAGCATTATTCTTATAGACAATTATATTTTGATTATTGGTAATCAAAGCAAAGTTTGTTCCATTTGAGGATATTGAATGGTAAGCTAAATATAATAATAATAATAAATAATCCAATCTCCTTTGGCAAATGAAGTCTCTTTCGAAATATCAATTAATTTAAGAAAAGCCAATTTTGGTCGATATTATTAAGAATTACCTTCCCAAAATCTTTTTATTGGCACCTATGTTATCTCCCCTTAATTGGGATCAATACTAATCTGTTCAATTTCTTCTTAATTTTTTTATGCTCACTTATTGAAATATTTGAAATACTAAAAATGAAATAATTTTTATTTTAATAATTAAAAGATAATATAATTCAAGATTATAACTAAGAATATTATTGTTCAATAAATTTTGAAATATTGTTAATTAGGAATAGATCTCAAAGTCTTGATTAAAGTTGGGTATTGATTAATCATAGCTCATAATTGTTAACCAAAAAATATTAGATTATATTAAGCTTCATTTAATATCTGTTACCAAAAAGATACTCATATTTAAATTAAATAGAAACAAACTACATATTTAGAAACTATGAGAATACTTTAATAAAATATCTTTCCAACATTGTAAAGCTATTTCAAATATAGAATTTTCTAATTTTAAAAATATGTAACAATTCTAGCATTGTTTTCAGAAAATCAAGATAATTAGACAAAAAGAAAATTTTAAATGGTTTTAATAAGATTGCCAAATATTATTTTTCTCCTTGTCATATCATCAATTATAGATTTAAAATTAAAAATCTTGGTTTCAATATTTAACGAGCTATTTAGCCTAGCACTCCATTTTTAGAATATCATTATTAATATTTATGCTATATA